TATGTACAGTGAGTCAGGCCTTAACCTGAGTGGCGGGCCGAGCCTCTGTCCAAGTTCCTCTTTCCCCATGTTGTGCACGACGGTGCTCATCGTCGCGCATGACATTTCTTCCCCTATTCTCTGATAAAGACATTGAACCGACCCCTTTCCCAAGTGGCGGGCCAGGTCGTGTCTGAGTCCCTTCTAACACGCACGGCGATGCCTATTGTCGTGTGTGTCTTTTCTTTTCTCTCTCCTGTCATGGACGGTAGAACCCATCGCCGTCCATGTTTTCTCTTACTCTCTCTCTTTCTTGTCATCGACGGCGGAACCATCACTGTCCATGTTCTCTCTTACCTTCTGTCCTATTATGGATGGCAAAACCCCCATCGACGCTCATGTTTTCTCTTTTACCCTCTCTCTCCTATTATGGATGGCAAAACCCATCGTCGTCCATGTTCTCTTTTACCCTCTCTCTCCTGTTATGGACGGCGGAACTGATCACCGTCCATATTCTCTCTTACTCTCTATTTCCTGTCATAGACGGCGGATCCTATCATTATCCATATTTCTTCTTCTCTTCTCTCTTACTCTTTCTCTTCTGTCATAGATGGCGGAGCCTATCGCCGTCCATGTTCCTTCTCCCTGTCCCCCTTTCTCTTTTCTCTATTATGGATAGTGGAACCTCATCATCGTCTATGCTTCTTTTTCCCTTCTCTTTCCTATATCATGGATGGTGGAACCCCATCGCTGTCCATGTTTCTCTTCTTTCTCCTCTTTTCTCTCTTCTCTTCTCTCTTCTCTCTCTCTTCTTTTATCTCTATATTCTCGCTTCCTTCTCTCTCTTCTTTCTTCTCTCTCTTCTTTTTTTTCCTTTCTTTCTCCATTCTTCATCTCTCTTTCTTTTTTTCTTCTCTCTTCTTTCTTCTCTCTCTCTCTTCTCTCTTCTCTCTCTTCTCTCTTCTTTCTCTTTTCTTCTCTCTTGTATCTTCTCTCTTCTCTCTCTCCTCTTTTCTCTTTCTTCTCTTTTCTCTTATCTTTACTTCTCCTCTTCTTCTTTTCTCTTCTCTTCTGCTCTTCTTCTATCTCTCTCTTCTCTTCTTCTCTTCTGCTTCTCTCTTCTCTTTTCTTCTCTTTCTCTCTTCTTTTATCTCTCTTCTTTTTTCTCTCTTTCTCTCGCTGTTTTTTTTCTTTCTTCTCTCTCACTATTCTTCTCTTACTCCTTCCTCTCTTCTCTTTTCTCCCTCTTTTTTCTCTCTCTCTTCTTTCCTCTTTCTCTCTCGTTTGGCCAAGGGATAGGTTAAGTCTAGCACTATCATGATAGTCTTGTTGTCGAGCAGTTTTGCCATCGTGCTGGTCTAAGTTACTGTGCTCGTGTTTTTGCCACGTCAAACTCACCATCGTGTCAGGCTGGTTGTTGTTGGTTCTACCATCGAGTAGTATTGTCGACGTGCCGGTTTGAGTTACCGTGTCCATCTTGCTACTAAGCCAGGTCAATCATCATACCGGTCTAGCCACTACGTCAAATATCTCTTTCTTCTCCTCTCTTTTCTCTATTCTATTTCTTTCTTCTCCTTTCATCATCCCAATCTTCATCTCATCATTTCTGCCCTTTCTTCTTTGAATGTGCACACATGTGTGCATTCACCCAAAGGTGGGTAAATTAACCGTGTGTGTGTGATTGCAGAAACATGAGAGTACAAGTCAAGGGAGGCGATTTCGAACCAGTTGTACGACGGGGGGGCTTCCGTCGTGATCTAAGAGGGCGTTCACGCGAGTCAACCCGAGTGAGTCACGGACTCAAGTAATGTGTGTCTCGCCTCACATTAAATTCCTCTCTCACCGGTTGATGTACCTACCCTTGTTTTTTATCAAAGTTCTTGAAAGAACGGTCTCAAGTCCCGGATTCTCCTTGAAACCCGCGAGATGTGCCACCAGGTCATCCCGATCCGGGGGTGAGATCGAGACATCTAACTAATCACCTTACTAACACTTTCAAAATACTAACTATTCAACTATTTGAAAAAATAAGTAGGGGTTATCATCCCCACTAAATTACTCAAACCAAATAAAAAGTTGAAAGAACTAGGTACCTCACTATTCATGTGTAAAAAAGAACCTTCAAAATACTAACTCCTAAACTAATTGAGAAAAATAAGTAGGGCCTATTATCCCCCCTTAATTACCCAAACCAAAAATAAAATGTTACAAAGAACTGGCCATTGAAGCTCACTATTCATGTGTGAAAAAGAGAGAGGTGGGGGGTTTGGGGGGATTGAGGGCATGAGAGAGATAGAGAGGCTTAGGGCATGGAAAAATTGAGTGCACCGGATATATTGTGTCCGTTGATGGATGTGAAACGGCAACAGCTCTACAAAAACCATTGCGTAACTTTTCGGGCTAAACCCCAACAGCTCTAGAAGAGCTGGGGCAAAAACACACTACACTTTCGCCCTATAGAGGTTTTAAGAGTTTTTCCTTAATTATACAATGTGCTTCCACAGGTACCCACCAAATTGATATTCTTTTTCCTTTTGAAAACATATATCCGTACACCCAGTACATTTTTCCAATAGACCCTGATATGTATCTTGCAGTAACAAATTTTCTAAAAACCTTTCTACTAACCATTTGAGCTTTTTTAACCCTTGTTGATCCACTTTCTCCCTCTCATAGTACCATCGATTCGTCCATTATTTCCCTCTCTATTTCTTTCATAGGTGCGCCCCATTGTAAAGATGGCGCGTACCAAATTTCATATTCATACAATTTGTAAAAAAAAAATAATAATAATAATAATAATAATAATACTTTGAAGCGTCGGATCTTAGATTGAACAATGAGTGGCTCATTTTGATTTAAATTGGATGGTTCGATGGGAGGGCAACCATATATCTTTCATGCTGTAGGGGAAGTATAGAAACCTTTCCACCATTATGTAGGAGAGAGTAAAAGGGTTAAACAAAGCTACTGGTCCTCCCATTAGAACAAGCCATTGGCTATGGTCCATATTCTTTCTTTCTTTCTTGGGTGTTCTTCATTCACCAGGACATAAATGATCTTCTCCTCTCTTTTTTAGTGCAAAAATGGTGCTCCATTTAACTAATAGTCTCCTTCTAATCCTTTAAAATCATGGCTTTGATAAAAGCTCAATCTTTCTTTAAACCCCAATATCTCATTTTGTTTTGGTTCCTCTCTCTCAACATTCTTATATTCAATGTTTCTCCACAAAACCCTCTTTTCTCTCTTCTTCTCCTTCTTCTCTTATTAAAGATGGCATGGCCTTGTCTTCTTCCTCTCTCTTTTTTCGTGATTAATATGCTTATGGACTTTTTTGGGCTCTCAAAGCATGGAGCCAGCTGCAACTTCCCAGCGTTTCCACCTCAAAACCCCTAAAATATCCATCGTTGTACTAATCTTCTTCAAAACCAATGATTTTGAAGCAATCCATGTTTATACACTCATCCGTAAGCACCCCCATCTTCCTGCAGCCATGTCCCTAAAAGAGAGAGAGGTGGGGGTTTAGGGGGATAGAGGGCATGAGAGGGGGATAGAGAAAAAACCTTCAAAATAATAACTCCTAAACTATTTGAAAAAAATAAATAGGGGTCTATCATACCCCACTAAATTACTTCTAAACTATTTGAAAAAAATAAGTAGGGGCCTATCACCAAAAAAAAAAAAGTTACAAGAACTTGGGTATTGAACCTCATCTCTGAAAAAGAGAGGGAGGTGGGGGTTTTGGAGGATAGAGGGCATGAGAGGGGGCATAGAGAAAAAAATATAAATTACCCAAACCAAAAAAGAAAAAATTAAAAGAATTGGGTATTGAACCTCACCATATTCATGTCTGAAAAAGAGAGAGGTGGGGGTTTTGGGGGATAGAGGGCATGAGAGGGGGATAGAGAAAAAAATATAAATTACCCAAACCAAAAAGAAAAATTAAAAGAATTGGGTATTGAACCTCACCGTATTCATGTCCGAAAAAGAGAGAGAGGTGGGAGTTTTGGAGGATAGAGGGCAGAGAGATAGAGGAAAAAAATTAAGTAGGGGGGATAGAGGGCAAAAAGATGGAGGAAAAAAATTAAGTAGGGCCTATCAACCCCACTAACTTACCCAAACCAAAAGAGAGAGAGGTGGGGATTTTGGGGTATAGTAGAGGGCAGAAGATAGAGTGAAAAAAATAATTAAGTAGGGCCTATCTTCCCCACTCACTTACCCAAACCAAAAAAAGAATTAACAGAAGTGTCTATTGACCCAAAAAAAAGAGTTAAAAGAAGTGTCTATTGAACCTCACTAGTCATGTATGAAAAAGAGAGATAGAGGGCATGAGAGAGATGGGAAGGTTTACGGGCTCCAGAGGCGTGAGGTGGCGGTTTGTACCTATGGGTCCGCTGCCATCCGAGTTTTTTAGATGGCGTTGAAAAATCGACTGCATCGGACATATTATGTCCACTAAAACGAAACCACAACAGCTCTACAAATATCATTACAACTTTCAGGCTAAACCGCTGACGGTGTGGGGGCAAAAACACAATGCACTTTCTCCCTATGGAGTTTTTAAGAGTTTTTTCTTAATTATTCAGCGTCCTTCCACGACTACCCGCCAAACTAATTAAAGGTGCAGTTTGTCTAGAGTTTGATTAGAGCCTATTTTCAAATAATATCAAGAAATGTAGTTTTAATACTGAAAATCATTATAATTGTCTTAAAATATATTTTTATTTTTATTTATAAAGTTTAAAGTTTAAAAAATAGTCCCGATAGATCTATGAAAACTTGAAAATCATGAAAATTAATTGTTTAAAAATATATTATAAAATACATTATTTTTAAAACTTGAAATCTATTTTTTTTTTTTCTCTTGTCCATACATCTTGATATCGAGATGATCAATTTGAGGATATTTGAACATCAAAGAAATTTTTAAAGTAGGCTCTAATTTGATGGTTTTGAGCCTCGGTTCTATATAAACTTTTCCTAATTAAATAATCACAAATCACAACCGACCAAAACTCCCTTCTCAGTATCCCATCACTGCAATGATCCCCTCTGTCTCGAAGTGGTACTCCAATAATTCACCATTAAAAATAAGCTACTACGTGTAACTTCATCTTCCCCTACAATGGAGACAAACGCCTGATTCCTTCTTCCAATGGCGACTTCCCTCATCTTATGTCGCCCTAAACCCACTCTTCCTCCTCAATTCTACCGCCATGCCTTAATCCCTGCAAAACCCTCTCTGAATTTGAGAACCAGTGCCCTGAATTTGAAGCATTTGAGGTTTCCCGAGGGAAAAGCAAGTTTTTTTGGCCGGATTTCTGCTGGTTCTTCGGTTCAAGAGACTGAAGATGACCAGAGACTGGAGGAAGAATTGGGTGGAGACGAGAGACAGGAGGAAGAATTGGGTGGAGAGGATGCTGCTGCCTTTGATTTGAGGGAACAGAGAGTGGATTCTTGGGTTTATTTCTTTGTGATTTTAGGGGTTGTTCTAACAGTTTTGCAGGTGGTCTGGATTGACAATTCGACTGGTTTTGGAAAGGCATTTGTTGATGGAGTTGCAGGGTTGTCAGATAGTCATGAGGTGAGCTTCTTGATGGAGTTTTGGGATTTGGGTTTTGATGGTTGCCTCCTGTTTCCATTTTATACTCTTTCTCAGTTATGGCTTTGATGTTGTCTTAATCTTTGGGTTGTGGTTTCTTAGTTCTTTCCTGAATTGTGGGTTGAATTTTTTTTGTTTAGACAATCAAAAAGATATTTTCTTTGTATTGTGAATTATGGCCTTAATATCTCATCTTTATTAATGATATTTGGCAGTGGTAAGTGTTTGATGATGGAGGACTCACCGTTTTATGATAGGGCACAAAGATATAATTTGGTCCCATGTTCTGTAAAAATATAGGGCCATGTGGATATCTAGTGCTTTGTTTGCTTTCTTTAATTTATTTGTTTGTGGTTTTGTGCAGCGATTCAGTGTAATTTATCATTAAAACCTTAAATTAGTTTTGAAAAACGATTGTCAAATCTGTATGCCTTAGTTCCAATTGTCTCTAGCAAGAATTGCAGTGTGAGTGTCTCAAGTGATCAATATGGTAGTAGTTTCCGTTTTCGTTTTTATAAAGTTTTTAAAAGGATTTGTCCTAAATTTTCGAGCTTCTTATATCTTTGTTCGTTTTCTTTGGTATTATAGAATTTACCTTGGACTTATTACCCTGTTCTTTAATGTATTTGGCCTTGATTTAGTGTTTTAACAATAAAGGATTAACTTGAAAGCAGTGTTCGCAAGATCGAACCAGAACGGTTAATCAGACATGTGCTCAGAAGCGGTTTAACCAGCATAATTGGTGGCCGATTCAACCTTTCTAACCGGGCAAGTCCCTAGCGGTCAAAAAAGTGTTGAAAAAATAAAAAAGATACAAAAAAATATACTAAAATATGAAAAGCATATAAAGAATGAATAAAACAAAACACATTCAAATGAAGTTGAAAATTAATGAAGAAAATGCAATTTAACGAATCGATTTTTGAATTAAAGTGTGTATTAATGACCAAAACAATTTTTAATCTTTACTATAATGTAAAGAATATTAAAAAATGCATTACAAACCAAATTCTGTATTTTTGGGAATTTATATACAGTTTAAAAAAAAAAAATTTAAATACCGGTCGATCCCCAAAACCGGAATCGGCCACTACTAGACGGTTAGCGTTTAGGTCGCCCAGTTTTTCCATCAATGCCTGAAAGTATATTATGTGATTTTCTATTATCTATAAAGTGTTTTGAATGACACATTCACACAATTTAAACATTGAGTTGGGAGTAGATGGAGACCTCTAATTACTCTATCCTATTGACTAAGAAGAGACCATCCTGATCAATTATCAAATTCAAATGGTTCATCTTGCCCTTCTATTTTCTTTATGGAGGGAAGTATTGCTTATTAGTCCATGCCACTCCAGTTGCATTTTGAAATTTTGGTTAACACTTTCCAGTCAAGCGACTAAGAGTTTGATTGGATTGGTCTAGATCCCAAGCGGCGACCATAATAATCTTCTTCTTCTTTTTTTCTGTTTTTTAATGTCTTTGTATACAACCAAATAAACAATTAAGTGCTTACTGATGAACTTGTCCACAGCCTGGGATGGTAAATTCCTCAAAGTGTCTGAATCATGTGTCTTTTTGCAGGTTGTGTTGCTGATTCTAGTTTTCATTTTCGCTGCTGCTCATAGTGGATTGGCCAGCCTCAGAGACCCTGGCGAGAAACTGATAGGAGAACGTGCATACCGTGTTCTATTTGCTGGGATTTCTCTTCCTTTGGCACTCAGTACAATGGTGAGTTTCTCTCTCTCTTTTTTCTGTGCTTATATAACATTACTAAGTGTTTTTGTATAGCATCTCAAGTGGTTTTGTTCCATTATAATTGAACTTTGACCAATGCGATCTTTGCTTTCAAATGTTCCATGTGTGCAATGTAGGTGTATTTTATCAATCACAGATATGATGGGGTGCAATTGTGGAATATTCAGAGTGTTCCTGGAATCCATCAAGTTGTTGGGCTGTCATCCGTTATATCCTTCTTTTTCCTCTACCCATCAACCTTTAACTTGTTAGAGGTTGCAGCTGTTGACAAACCCAAGATGCACCTATGGGAAACTGGGATAATGCGAATTACCAGGCACCCGCAGGTACTGATCGTTCCTTTTTTTTTTTTTTTTTTTGTCGAACGGTTGAGAGAGAGAGAGCTTTTTCTGATTTCTTTCTCCAGTAAGCTGATTATGGCTCCCCCTTTTTCGTTATCAGATGGTAGGGCAGGTGATCTGGTGCTTGGCACACACACTATGGATAGGAAACTCGATGGCCGTAGCGGCTTCTGCAGGACTAATTTCTCATCATTTATTTGGGGTCTGGAATGGTGATAGAAGACTGGCATTGCGGCATGGTGAAGCTTTCGAAGCTGTGAAAAAGAGAACAAGCATAATCCCCTTTGCTGCAATTCTTGATGGGCGCCAAAAGTTGCCCAAAGATTACTTCAAGGAATTCATTCGCCTTCCTTATCTCACTATTTGTGCACTGACAATTGGGATATATCTTGCTCATCCATTAATGCGAGAAGCTAGTTTTCAGCTACATTGGTAACTTCTTGAAGTGACCACTCACTGTTCCTTCCATATCCTCTCCATTCCTACCGTGGAAATTTCTCATTCCCTATCATTTTCAAGTAATTAGTTTGTTTTGTATATTTTTTGTGGAACCATGACAAAAATGTAGGTAATGTCCTTATCGATGAGATTTTGCCATGGCCCATGTCCTCTGTTTATTTTCTTTTGGGCTCTCTCCTCTTCTATCTCAATGTATGGTCATCCCCTGTGGCATTTTTCCTATGTTTGCCAGACCATTAGACAATTGCTGTGCGAAAGAGCAGGTAATCATGATTCAAAAACTTGGATCTCAGGCAAGCTCAGCTTACTCATTGGACTTAACCCATGTTCTAAGTGGATCTTGGTTTGAACAACTCTGAACACATAATTTATATATGTTGGTGCACGTTTGAGAGAGAGAGAGAGAGATTTGCTAAACACAGTAAAAAAGGCATGTGTTTTATATATTGAGAAATGATGATCTTTTTTGGATTTGTCTAAAAAAATAACTTATAATTGAAAAATATAATAAAAAGGCTATGTTTCTTGATATTCAATAACAAAATATAACAGGATAGCATTTCATTTTTTTTTCTACAAAAATCTGAATTTTATTTCTAGTTACTGCTTTCATAATGTTTTCTAAAAGGGTGCAGATAGCAGACGGATGCATATGTAGCTGTAGAGGTCGGTGCACCTTCAAATTTTGTCATGGTATATAATTTTGATGGGAAATGTTCTTAGGATTATTTCAAAATTTATTTTTATATCTAACTATAAAATTTTAAATTTTAAAAATGGTTAAAATCAAGTAGATCTATATACATATGAAAATCTTGAAAATGGACGGGGTAGATAATATGTTGTAAAATGCATTATTTTTGAGACTTAGAATTTTTTTATTTTTCATGGTCATACATCATGTCGATGTCAAGATGATCAATCTATGCGTTTTTCAACATTAAAACTACTTTTTCTGATAGAATTTTGAGGTGCATATGTAGTTCTACATATAAGGTTGCAACCTTATAGAAACTTTTTCCGTTCTAAAAACTTGGAATATAAAAGAACTTTTTTCAAGTGAGTCCATTCAATGCATCCTTGAGAGAGATAAAGGATGAGTGAAAGGGTTTGGTATCACCCTAGTGTTCTTTTGATTTGAATGAAGTTTCAGGGTTAAAGTTCAAAAAAAACAAACAAACTGAGGGTTTTTTTTTTTGTTTTTTTTGTGAAATAATATGTTCACAAGAAAACACTCAGACATCCATCTTGATAACATATTGCGATCGCCATGTTACATTGATATTTTTTGTGCAGTTTTGATATTTTAGCAATTAAGACGGTGAAGAGGATGTTCATGTTAGTATTTTTGGAGTATTAAGGTTAGTAATATTATAAGTTTAAGGAGTCTGTCAACATTCTACTATTGAAATACACCGACTGTAGTAGGTAGTTATACAAAGGGTAGTTGGGGCACAAAGAAGGAGATTTGTGATTTTAATTACAAAAATACCTTTTCTTAGGGCCTATATTCGTGTCGAAGCTCACTTATTAGGGTTAAGGGAATCCCACATTATCCCTATATGTCTATGGATGAGCAAGAGGCCTTAAAGCTAGAGGTAGTTGACCCACAAGGATTTCATGGGAGTAAGATACCATGGATGAGCAGGAGGCCTTAAAGCTACAGGTAGTTAACCCACAAAGATTGCAAGGGAGTAAGATACAAACTAAAAGAGGCAATGTATTCAATTGATGCATTGTTTTTCCCTTCTCTATTGCAATCAATCTAAAGAACACAAAGTGGTACTAAAAGGAAAAAGAAGGGCACAGTCCATTCCAAAATTCCACAATTGATGAAGCACAAGCAAGAGATAATTTAAATGCTACAGCTGCACAAATCTTTTATGCTCATGACATCTCGTTTAGTGTTGGGAAGGATGTAGCATTGCAAATTCTCGAGCACCAAACAATTAAGCCCGGGTTCTTTTCTTATGATGCTAACTTTGCTTGTTAAAGAGAGAGAAAAGTAGAATTGATCACGGATTGGACGCAATAAGAAATTAGTGGGCAACTTATAAAGATTCAATTGTTTTGAAAAGTTTGAACAATATTAAGAATGAATTTCTAACTAATATCATAGCTGGGTCGAGGGAAAATGGCTATATGTGTGAATGGTAGTAATTGCTCTTCAATTGAAAAAACAAGCCAATATATTGTAAAGATCCCTTTGAAAGCCAGGACTACACAATGAGGCCTATGTTGTAACTGACAACACTGTGAATTGCAAAGGTGCTAGGGCCATAATTCAATGCCAACATCCTCATATCTTTTAATAAGTTTGTTTAATTCATACATTGAACCTTCTCATAAGTTATTGCATAAAAAAAAAAAAATCTATTTTTCACTTTTAAATTGCAGCATGAAAAGTAGGTGAAAAGTGCAGTAAAATACATTTGAAACTGCACTAAGGGTGTCTCCATTTTCAGGACTTATTCGAACATCAAACTTCTTAAAGCCAAAAAGACTATATGTTTGGTACCACTACATCATGTTGAGGTGGTTGGTCAAAGTGAAGGTCGTCTTGCATCCCCCATGTTGAACAATGATTGGAAGGGTCTTGAAAGAGGTGCATCAGACACAGAGCACTGTGAGGTCTGTGATGTAATTATGGACAACGAATTCTGGAAATGAATAAATGATATTGCAGTTTATGCGAACAATATGGAAGATGGTAAACTTCGTAGAATGCAAAGCTAACATAGGAGATTCATAGGAGTGCATGTATACAATGTTAGGTAAAATTATGATTTATAGTGACCGTGTTGTTACAAGGAACGACGATATGTAAATAATAAGACCCATTGTTCGCTCCAAAAATGTGCCGCCGTTAATTTAAATATTTAAATAAACATCATGACTCCAAATGAACAACCAGAAAGCAAACACATCTGGAGCCAAATTTGCCCATGTATTTCATATTGTAAAAACACTGGGTTTTAACATATATTACTGGGAATGAACGAATTCCAAATAAACCTCTATTACAATTTACATTAGCATAAGACTAGGCCGAATACCCTTGATTAGGGCCTTGAAACCTATACATACGATTCTAAAAAAAGAAAAATATATAGACACACAGAAAATAAACCAATACCAAGGCCATCATGAGCCCATATGCATGAACTCAGGGGTAGTGTATGTACGATCTGCTCCTTTTGATATCGGGCTTCAAGTGAGTCCAAGTTTAATAGCTTCTCTCTCTATCGGATTCTTGCGTTGTAGATCAGAAAACAGCAGTACCAATTGGTTGTTTCTTTACTAATAGTGGATAGATAGAGTCATTCAATTCTCTCTATCATGCAAATATCATGCAGAATAGCGTGTATGTCTCAGTCTCTTCTCACTGGAAACTACTGATTGAACCGAACCCTTCCTCTTTACATAATTATCCATGAGTTGATAACTACAAAACCTCATGATCTTTACCCATTTGTTGACCACACGTTGCTATCTTCAACCATCTAACCTCGAGATGATAACCATATAGCTTTGTTTGAATTTGAATGCCTCCACAAGTGATCATGATGATAACTATATATCTGGTCAACATCTATATATCATCAGATGTTTGAATTTAAACTCGCAGCTCCAAATTCAGCAAGAACTTCGAGTGAGAAAAATAAGGGTATCTGTTACTTTTAATCCATCATCGGTCAAGCTGTTGCAGCACTTTTATGCCATATCTTTGTATTTCTTCTACTGCTCCCTGAAGACGAATGCTTTGATCATGAAATTTAGAAAGATGATAGAGGACTCAGAAATGAACACAATGGTCCAAGTCTCGCTTCAAATGGATTACATATGAGAGATATGATTCACCAAAGTCAACCCTTCTCTACTGGAAATTACATCAATTAGATTAGGGGACTTGTGGATACAATTGTTGCTTCCACAAGGATCAATATAATGTCACGTCTTTTAAAGGTGTTAGAGCATGAAGTCGAGAATGCAATGGTCCTGGTCCCATGAGAAAATTCCTCTCGAATAAAGAGAAATCTAATTTTGGTGACCGGGAGTCATCCTGGCTTTTAACAAACAGTGCATAAAGCTTTTGACTGTTGATGGATAGGCATATCTTAACCACCAATGTATATGGATGTTGGGATTAAGCTAACTCCAAATGATATCCAATTTCTATAATTCTTAGACTTAGAAGCATATAAGGCCTCATGAATCATATTTGCATGGATGCACCTCATCGTAATATCATATGATGAGATTTTTCTTATGCTCTGTCCGTCAAACACTTTATCCTTGGCTGACAACAGATTCAAAGAGATATAATGCATCTCATCAAACTCCTCTAGTATCATTTGGAGAGGTGTATATGGGCCATGGGAGTATATGTATCCCAGAATTTGTATCAAATTGAGATGGCTTGATGGTCTCTTATAATCGATTGTTAGTCACGATGCACATATGTGGTTGACGATGGATTAGGAAGTGTAACATCCCATATCAAATTCCTCTAATATCATGTGGAGAGGCGTATATGACCTTTAAGAGTATATATATCCTAGAGTCTGCATCGAATTGAAAAGGTTTGATAGCTTCTATCATCGATTGTTAGTCAAGATGACCATACTTGACTAATGTCAAATTTGGAAAGCATCGCACCGTATCAAATTCCTCCAATATCATGTAGAGAGGCATATATGAGCCTTAGGAGTACGTGCCCTAGAATTTGTCTCCAACTAAGACGGTTTGACTCCTCTTGTTATCATTTGTCGTAAGTCAGGATATGTACGAGTTGACTTGACAAACAGGATTCTAAAGGCATATTGGGGCCTTCATATGTTGAGTCTTGGGCATATCATATCTTCATATCCTCATATCATATCAGAAGTGTATATTTGCAAATATCTACAAGGATCACGCTCCTTGAGATTGCATATCTTATCATCTATCTGGTGCAAGTTAAGCACTTCGCTTCATAGTTATGTTTTTTTTTAATTCATGGTGCATCTCTCAAAATATACTTAATTTGTATGGTGACTAAAAAGCACACCCAATACCCATATAGTCTTCCTTTATATTGTTTGGCATTCCTTCTCAATCCCAAGTACTACTCTCGCGAGTAATTATTTACACGTACCTGTAGAGGAGAGAAGATGATAAAGATTTATGAAGATCCATAAATGTCTGCTTGTTACCATGCTTCTCTTGATGTGTTGATTCTGGATGAGGCTGAGCAAGGTGGAATGAGGTAACAAATGAGTAATTTTGTTGGCAATAGAGGGGTTTCATTCC